GGGGGCGGCCGGGCCCGCGGAGCGGCTGCGGCTCCGCCGAGGGGCCGGTGCGGCGCGGGGGCCCCTCCCCGGGAACGCGGCGGCGGAACGGCCCCCGCGGGCCGCGGAGGGTCCCCGGCGGTGCCTCGGGGCTGCCGCGGCCTGAGCGGGGCCGGGCGGTCCGTCCCCTCCCGGGATGCGGCGGTAAAAGTTTCCCGGTGGAGCGGGCGGTGAGCGGGAGGGCCCCGCGGCCATGGCAGCGCCCGGTCCCGCACAGCGGCACCCGCAGCCCCGCGCTGTGCGGGTCCGGCGGGGACACCGCCGTGCTCGGGGCTCGCCGCGCCGGCGGGTTGTGGCAGCGGACACCGCGCTGTGCCCGCGGGGACGGACGGACGGACGGACGGGGACCCTCCGCGCCGGGTCACGGCACGGGGAGCGTTCGGAGTCGGTCGTGGCTCGAGGCCAGACCAGCCCGTCCCTGGCAGAGCCGCCGGCCCGGCCTCCTCCTGCCTCGATGCCGCATCTGCTGGGCTTGGATGTCCCCGAGCTGGGCTCTGGCAGAGGCCCCGGGGGCAGGTTTGTCGTGCGGTCGCCCCGCGAGCCCCTCGGACGAGGCCGGGCCGTGGGGAGGGGTGAAGGTGCTGCCCGGGGTGACCCCCCGTCCCTGTGGTGGGAGAAGAGGGTGAGACCCGCAGCAGCATCATAGAGAAACAGCCTTGGCTCAGTACAGCTGAGGGAGAACCTCGTGGGCTTTTGGGCTGGAGATCCCCCTGCGCTCAGGGAACTGCTGGGTTCTGGTTCCTCCCTGGAAACCGGCCGTGCTCCTGAGGCGGTTCTTCCCTTTGGGAGGGTGGGAGGAAGAGGTTTTTTCCCTTTGGAGAGCAGGATGCCCGTTCCTTAGGTGGATGATGGGCTGGGAGAGGGGATTCTCTTTGCTGGACCTGGCAGTCCCTTCTTCCGGCCTCCCCATTCCTTGACAGAAGGGGTCCTGCCTAATGTTCCCAAACAACCCTGGGCTCCATCCTGGAGTGCACTGATGCCTCGTGGCTACAGCGTGGACAACTCCAGCGTTTTGTCCAGCTGTGGGAGGGTTAAATCCCTTACTTCACGTCCTCCCCAGGCTCTCTCACTCTGCTGAAGGAACTGAAGCCCAGAGTGCACTGAGGTGCTCAGCCTGGGGCTGGAGCATCCTTAGGGAGCCCCTCAGAGCAGTGCCCTGCTCAGTCAGCCACACAAGTCAGCGCTATCACCTTTTGTGTTAAAATGCCGTGACAGAGGCAAAGTTTACTTGAATTATTTAAGAAAAAAAAAGTTCCTTCCTATGTTAGTACTTGCTCTAAAGTGAGAACTTCCATCTCCTGTGTGCCCTGTGTGTCTGGAAGCTGCTTGGTGGGAAATACGATGTCAGGGAGTGTCTTCAGTCTGTGAAGACATAATCTGTGTGTGCTCAGCTCTGCCCCTGACAGCGGTTCAGCAGGACAGTGGCAGTAGATTAGTCTTTGTGGACATCAGGACTTAAATATGTGGTCTGAGTGCACGTGGGAATATCTGTGGCTGTAGGGCTCCTTATCCTCCGATGGCTCCCCGATCCTGCTCCCTGCCCACATCTTTCTGCTCGTGCTGTATTTTTATCACGCAGTTTATTTTTGTCGTGACTGTGACTGTGTTGTGCTCCCGAGTAACACAAGCCGCCTGACTGTGTTACAGAGTTCAGCACTGGCTCCTGGGCGGTTTGTTTTCCACTGGTCAATAGGAGACTGCTGTTTGTAGGGCAGCCTTTTTCCCTCTTTTCCCTTGGCAGACCCCGTGCCTCCGGTGGTGGATGGATGGCCGAGTGCCTGGCTGTTCTGACAGGTAACGGGGTAATTGAAATGCCTCCTCGGGATGTACAAAATAGAGAATGGCCAAGCATGAAAGCACCACTGCAGACTTGTCCTGGCTTGCTGTTTTTCTCAGGAATTTTGCTTCGTGGTCCTTGCAGTGTGTTCTGGTTGTGGCAGCATCTCTGGGAGGGAAAGAGAAACGAGCAGCAAGGGCTGGAACGCAGCTTGTGCTGCTTCCTTTTGATGGAGCGGAGTTCTGGTGGGCTGCTGGGTCCATTAATCATGTTTAAGTTTCTGTCACTAACTTTTAATTAAAAGCATAGTTGATACCACTTTAATGAACGTACAGATGTTAGCCATCTTCATGCATAAAAATGCTTTTTAATTCCCTTACTATTCCCTTTATGGCCCTTAGATGCTTTTGTTACCATCTAATCCGTGTACAGTAGCAGCTGTTTATCTTCTTAATAAAACTTTTTCTTGCATCTGTGTT